GGAACATCCTCTCTGACACTGAAACCACTGAGTGCCACACAATGGGAAAGTTGAGTGAAGGCGATAAAGCCTGTCAAACACCAAATTGGGAAGATAGATGATGCCCTAGTTGTCATTATGGAGGATAATGCTATGACAGGAACTGTTCATGGGAGAACAGTGGCAGAGGGAAATGGAATCACCAGAAACATACATAACTTCAAATTTCTGTGTGGCTTAGTGTTGTGGCATGACATACTGTTTGAAATAAATGTTGTAAGCAAGAAACTTCAAGGTGTTGACCTTGATATATCTGGAGCAATGGAACAACTGGACAAAGCAGAGTCATACCTACTTGTCAGATGAGGGATTTCAAAATGTTCTGAAGGGTGCACAGAAGTCGGCAGAGGAACTTCACACTGAAGCTATTTTCCCACCCATTCAAGAATACAGGAGTCACCGAAGAAGACATTTTGATTACGAGGCATGGGATAATCCCATAAGAGACTCCAAACAACAATTCAAAGTTGAATTCTTTAACCAGGTGCTAGATTGTGCAATACAGTCTGTTGAAGAATGTTTCATGCAGCTCAAGGAACACAGCAGTATATTTGGGATGTTGTATGATATTCCAAAACTCCTCACTATACCTGAAGAAGACCTACACCAGCAATGCAGGGCACTAGAGACAGTGTTGATACATGATGACATACGCGATATTGATGCAAGTGATTTAGGTGATGAACTGAAAGCCCTTTCAAGATACATTTCAGCAGGATCAACTCCAAAGGCTGTTCTGGAATATATGTGCACAAATAAGATGATCACCCTCTTTCCAAATGCTTTTGTTGCTCTGCGCATACTTCTAACACTTCCTGTAATAGTTGCCAGTGGAGAACGCAGCTTCTCCAAGCTGAAGTTAATAAAAACACATCTACGCTCCACAATGACACAGGAGAGGCTGGTCGCCCTTGCAACCATCTCAATAGAGCATGAGCTGGCCCAGACTGGGAACTTTCAGGAAGCAGTTCAAATCTTTGCAACCAAGGAGGTATGGAAAGCACCCTTTGATTATTCAAACAGATTAAAAATGCCAGTGTTTACTATGCAGACAAGAAAAGTTACATTTGCTATTCCAGCGTTTGAAAGTTAAGTGTTACTTACAATTTTTGAACAAGGCATTTTAAGTTGTTAGTTCTCCTTTATTGCGGTAGGTAGCAGAGCAGTATCATGAAAGGAGTAGAACAGGAAGAAGGCAGAATTGAGACCTTTCAAAGATTTGGCCCAAGCGAGGGATAATGGGGGCATCATTTGAGCTCCCCACCTCAGGTGCCAAAATGTTATAGGCCGGCCCTGGGAGCATTGCATCTATGATTGTCCTGAATATAACTTCAGCCAACATAGAGTACGGGGCTAGTGTTTGAGCATTGCTAAATTCTTTATTTTTTCATTGTCATTTTCTTATTGAGCAGAGAAGAGCTGATAGGAATGAAAGACTGCAAAGTTGCTGTTTTTTTTGCTTTTAATTTAGTCCTACAAAATTTTAGTGGAAGGCTTGACCTTTCCTGTTTAGGCCTCTGCTTGTGTAAACTCAGTTTTTCCAGAAAGTACTGAATATCTACTTTCTTGGTGTACTGTTCTTGATGATGGAAGAAAGAAAACAAAACAGATGAGCAAGATAAATGCAAGTCATTAGGCAAGAAATAGAATACACACAAAGCTAACACAGGTCTATGCAGTATGTTAATACATTATTTATCATGTAATAAAGTAATGTATCTGGATTACATCCAAATTACAAGCCATCACTGCTTCTGTTGACCTTTTGAAACTCATTGTTCAGTTTGCAGAATTGCATTCAAAAGTGCAAAAGTTTCGTCTCAAAACGTAACCACTCCATTGCATTTAAGATGATATTGACAGATTGGATTATGATTCGTCTATGAATGCAAACGTAGCAGACATTCCTTTTGTTAACGTTCCTTCCATGACCCCAGGTCCAAACACAGTATATTCCAGTATATTCCTTCTCCTTTTAACACCAGACTTTCCTTAAATAACATTCTTGTCAGTTTGACATTCCAGTCCTGTAGAAGAATATGTATGCAAAGGAACATCTCTTTAAAAGCTTGCTTTAGGCATGAAGTAACTGTGTGATTTGATTGGCTTTTAATAGAATGACATCTATGCAATGCAAGCCAATGAATAGCTAGGATTCACTAGATAGTAAGATTCACTGGCATTTTTATAGTATCAGCATTACAAACCAAGAGTGAAAAAAGAAGGAAATTTATCAATAAGTTAACATTTCCCTCTTTATCTTTTTATGTTTCTCTTAATTTTTGACAACTGATTTTAATGCTGGTGAAGGGTGACAGATTGGGCGCCCTGAAGAATGAAGTCCTCTCTCAGCAGAACAGGGTTACTAGCTGTGTAACCAGGGCCATCCCTAGCCATTTGGGTGCCCTACTGCAGCCCTAGGACTCCCCCGCCAGGGTCTGGGAGGCAGGAGCTTTGGGGGGCCACTTTTGGGGGCCCCACGGGCCCAGAGTGGCCTGGGGATTAGCGGGGGGCAGAGAGCAGCCCGCTCCACTTCCCTCGCCCCGACCCCAGCAGTGTTGCTTGGGGAGGGGGCTTGGGGGAAGGGATCCCCCCACCGGCAGTGGTGGGAAGCGGAGCAGCCCAGCCCCAGCCCACTCTACTCTGCCAGCTCCCAGCCGCTGTGCTCCGCTTCCCACCGCCAGTGAGAGCCGGGGCGGTCCTTTCCCCAACCCAAGCGACAGGGCTGGGGCCAGGGCAAGGGAAGCGGAGCGGGCTGGGGTCGCGTCTCTCCACTTCCCACCACCGGGAGTTGGTGGAGTAGAGTGGGCTGGGGCCGGGTTGCCAGGGCCGGCGCAACCCTTTAGGTCACCTAGGGCGCTAACATTTGGGGGGCGGTGACCGTGGCGGCCGGATCTTTGGCTGCCCCGGTCGTCGTCGGTATTTCGGGGGCGAGACCTTCCGCCACCTAGGGCGGCAAAAAAGTTGGCGGTGCTCCTGTGGGTAGCTGGGGGAAGAGATGGAATGGGGGCAGGCGGAGGACGGATCAGGTGGGAAGGGCAAGAGGAAGGGCGGAGGGAGTTGTCTGGGGCCCCTCACCCCCCTAGGGACAGCCCTGTCCCTTGCAGGGGGGGCTGGCCGAGGGATAGGGTTGGTTGCCAGGGTTGGTGCTGCCACATATGCAGCTGCCTTGGGCAGTATGAAATTTGGTGCCCCAAATACGGCCCTGTGTGTAACTTCCCTATGCTGCCTCACCAATGTATTTCAGCCTTGATGAAGGCCATGTCTACACTAGAAAGTTTAATTGACAGAAGTTCTGCCAGCATACTGCAACCAACATGCTTCTTTTGACAGAGTGCAATCACATTTGGCTGCCTTTGCTGGTGCAGCATGTCCTCACAGAAACAGGTTATCTGCGCAAAAGACATGGGGCATTCTGGGAAGAAATTCCAGTGTCCCGCATGCCATTGTTGGCACACTACCTTGTAGAAAATTTTTGCAGTGTTTTGTGATCCTGCTGCTAGGTATCGGGGGACAGCATCACTCCTCCTAGGGAATTATGGGAGTTTCCGTAAATCCCTCTGTTCCATCTTATACTCTACTCTTTGTTATGCCATTTTTCCTTCTTGCCATCAGAAACATGGATGCTTTTCTGATCAGTGGAGCTGTCTTGTCCATTTTAGGAACAGAGCAAGAGATTCTTTTGTATCTGTGGAACCAAAATGTTTGGACACACAGCATGGACACTGAGCATGAATGCAAGACAGAAAAAGAAGCTGGAATGCTGGCAAGTATTCACTGACCAACTGCACAGAGTGGAGTAGTGGTTTGGAGCCTGTACTATGAGAACAGAATTGTGGGATTGGATTGTGATGCAAACCTGGGACAATCAGCAGTGGTTGTAGAATTTTCAGGTACAGATGGCCACATCATAAGATTGTGTGCTGAGCTCACCCTAGCTCTACAGTGCACAGAGACCAACTCCTCTGACAGTGGAGAAATGGGTGGCAGTTACTGTCTGGAAGATTGCAACCCCAGATTGCTAATCAATGGGCAATCAGTTTGGGGCCAGTTGTCAAACAGGTGTGCAAGGTGATTAAACATATTCTGTTGCACAGGGTTTCATGCTGGGCAATATCAAGGGAGTGATAGATGGATTTGATGCAATGGGCTTCCTGATCTGTGGTGGGGCAATAGATGGGACTCATATCCTAAATCTGAATGCCCCTCCCCACTGCCTTGCCTCTGAGTATATAAGCAGAAAGCAATACATCTCCATGGCAATGCAAGCACTGAGAATGATTTACTAATATTAATGTTGTCTGAATAAGGAAAGTTCATGATGCTCACATCGCAGGAATACAGGACTTTCTGCAAAGCTGAAATCAAGGACACTTTATTACTGTCTTATTGACATTAATGGGGTTGCTGTGCCAATTATGATTCTCAGGGACACAGTATTTTGTTTCCCTGGCTCATGAAGCCACATATCATTCAGGTGCCTAGACAGATTTAAACATCACTTGGGCCAGTGCAAGACGGTTGTGGAATGTGCCTTTGGAAAACTATAGTGTAGGTGTAGGTGTCTCATGACAAGGCTGGAAAATACTCTTGATATTATTGCTGCATGTTGTGTACTGCATAACATCTGTGAAGCTAGAGGGAAACACTACTGCCAGGGTGGAGGGATGAGGTTTCCAAGCTGTCTGTTGATTTGGAGCAGCCTGAGACAAGGTTGGTGACTTGTATACTACAGGTGCTGTGCGGTTTAGAGAAGCCTTACGAGCACAGTTTGACAGTAAGCAGGAGCCAGCATGTTACTTTGGGCTTATGCAAATACAGTAACTGGTTTATTAATTGTGTTTTTGATGAGAGGAAGGGTCATTGCTTTGGGGGATTTTCATCTCTGCATTGTAAGGAAAAGAAAATAAATTGATGTTTTCATAAAATTTATTAAACATCATTTACAATATATAAATAAATAGCAAGGTGCATGCAGCTACATCACATCAGGCAGTGGGTATGTTCACGGCAATTCTCATTGTTGTCCATTGGGGCTCAATGCCAGGGATACTGCTGCTGGAAGGATTGGAGACCCTACAGAAGAGAGAAGTTTATGTCTGAGTAAGGACCCACAGCTAGCCTGCTCACCTGCTACGTTAACCCCAGGCAGTCTAATGAGCGCAGGTGGGCCCCATTTCAGCCACCTGATTGGCCAAACTGCCCACTTGGCTGAGAGGATTAGCAGATCTGCTCTTAAAATGAGAAGCTGCTGGTTGCTTGAAGCATTTAACCATGATTGGGATAATTCTTTGTTCCCAGCCTTGTACCCATTTTGGTCCTGTCCAGTCCTGCTCCTGCTTTTCCTTACTCTAGGTAACCTGATTCTGACCCTCAGCTCTGATTCCTGACTGGCTGTGACCCTTGGCTCTGGCCCCTGGCTAAGGACTCCTGCTCTGAGCGCTAGGTCCTTTCTCCTGCTCTGACCACCAGGTATGATGCTCCACCCCAGTCAGAAGGAATTGTTCTCCAAGCTGTGTATTGGTCCTTGGGTGCTTTGATCAATAATATGCTCTAACAGCTTACTTTAAGAGCTGCAGGATGTCTTGGTGCATCTCTCAATCTTTGTCTTCCTCTCTCTCTCCTCAAGCATATGGTCCCACCATTTTTGAATCTCATAGACTCCGTGCTGGGCAGTCTGGATCAATTTGAAAGCCATGTCTTCTCTTGTCTGGTTCTCTCTCTCTCTCTCCTCCTCAGACTGAGTTGCTCAGCAGGTGTAGAAGGGATACTCCTAAAGGATACCCCAGCTGAGGTTAGTGAAACAAATAGAAAGCCATTGTTAGGTGTGTGTGTGTTTGGGGAGTGGGATGCCAGACAGCAGACAATAACAGTCTACATTTTCCCATCTAAGGTGTATAAAACTACTATGTCTCTCAATTCCCATTGCTTCAGAAGCCTTTAAGAGCACACTGCATGGTGAGTACAGGGGAGTGGTTTTGTGTGTGTGTTTTTTTGTTTGTTTTTCTTTTTAAACCCCGGTAGCTGTGAGGGCTGGCTGGGCATGGGGGCTTGGTAACTTTTTGGTATAGAATAGTAACAACTACTTAACTTATTACAGATCATCATGGTCCTTGAGGATATAATGATGTGGGTCTCCAAGGGCCAGAGAAGGAAGCTGCTTGAAAGGATTAGTGGTCAGCTGGGGCTGTTTACTGCTAGCCTCTTCAAAATGATGATCCTTGAAGGCCTTACAGAATGGCATGGGAAAGTGTCCTATTATGGCAGGAGAAACAAGAAAATTCTGATTAGAAACATCCAGGCAAAGATTAAATACTACTTGCTAGAAAAGTTCTGTGAAATTTTAGCAGCAAACTCCAAAGTTGCGTGTGTTAAGATCAATGGCCTTTGCAAGCAGTGAGGAGTCCTGGCACCCACCAGTTTATCACTGTTTCTCCCTCTTTCCTGAATTCAGTGCATGAAAGTGTAGACTAAAAATCATTCTACATCCTTTTATTTACCCCCATGATATTGCATTTTATTAGTTCTATTTGTTCCAATGATGTTGCATTTTATTTGTTTGGATGGTTTGAAGCAAGCATGTTCTGTAAAATTATGTACCGAAGAAGCTCACTCATCAGTTTCACGGTAGCTAAGAAGTGCTTTTGCATTGCATAGTGCTTTAAAAAGCATTGCAAGTGCTTTTTATTTTGTTACTATGACACTACACGATATTGCATTTTATTGGTTCAGAGAAATCTTATTCTGTAAGACTATGTATTTAGAGTGCTCACTCACTGAATTCATTGTAGTTTAAAAGCAATACTTTGTATGTTTTGTCTTTGCTGCAAAATTTGTGTTCCTGTTTTTGTATTCCTATCTTGGCCTATTGCCTGTTAATTTCATTTCATGCTCTTAAAATAAATCAGCTAGTTCAAAACAGAATTTCTTTCTCCCCACACGTGAACGGCCACCATGGAGGGGGATAGGAAGGAAGAAAAGAAGGGTGATGATGCTTTAGGGACTGTAGAGAAAGTAAAGAAAATGGCCTGTATTAATGGGCCAGTCCTATTAAATTACACTGGAGTCTCCTTCCAATGCATCTAGCTCGGTCACAAAGAGCACCTGGCTCTTGGTTCTGGCATCATCCATGCCAATGTCTTCAGTGATATCTCCCTTGATTACCAGTTCTAGGGTGCCCTTCAATGAAATTCACAAGATGTCCACTGTTGTTGGCGAGAAGGTGGTGGGGTTCTGGTTCAGTATGTTACTGAGCATCTCATCATAGGGGGATATCTTTTAGTAAACCTTCTACAGTTCCTTTTCCTATGCCTGGCACTGGCCCTTGTCCCTGCTGTACCCATGGGCCTCTATGCCCTTTGTAACTTTCTAGTGTACATCTTTATTCTTCTTGAAGGAATTCCACAGTTGTGCCTGCACACATTACTCCCCACACAGGTTGAGGAAATCTAGGACCTATTTCCTATTTACCATGACGGTAAGGTGTGTGAACAGATGTGCTAGCAAAGGTGGGTTAGCAGAAAAGGAGGCATTTCCAAAATAGGCTGAGGACTTTAATTTTTCAATTGAGGAGAGGGAGTCTCTAGTCACTGTGACCCTAGGCAGCAGAGACTTAAACAACAACAAAAAAAGGCCGGAGTGGTCACTGCTGTGGAGACAGCTGTATTGTAGGCTTGTTGCTGGATGACCTATTGTACTAGCATAGGTACTTCTGCATCCACACAGGCATTGTGCCAGTTAAAAAGATGGCAGTTGAGTGCTTATGTCACTCAAGGAACTGGTTTAACTTTGCCAGCTAAAGTTGAAGATTTTGGCAGCAGGATTTAAAAATCGAGAATGGATGCATTCAAGGTTCTGCTAACAACAAAAGGCCTGCTCTGCTGGTAAAACTTCATAGTGTAGACCAGGGGTTGGCAACCTCTGGCACGCGTGCCAAACACGGCACGCCAGCCGATTTTGAGTGGCACGCAGCTCCCTGCCGCGGTCCCGGCCCTCAGCCCCCACGCCCACTGCTCTCCCCTGCGGGGTCAGGAGGCAGAAGCTTGGTTCTGCGGCAGCCAAGCTTTCCCCCCCCTCCCCTGCTTCTTCCCCCAGCATGGTGCTTTCCTGCCCTTCCTCCTCTCCAGTTGATGGCCCTAGCGAGGGGGAGGGGGAAGAGCGGCAGCGTGCACCCAGATCCATAGAGGAGGCAGAGAGGGGTAGGGACAGAGCCTGGGGGAAGGGGGTGGAACAAGGCATATCCCTTCCAGCCCCCTGCCATGAGCTGCAGGGGGTTGGGAGCACCCCCACGAGCCGAGCACCCCAGCCTTCTGCCCTGTACCCCCCCACACTCTCAGCCTTCTGCCCTGCACCCCCCACTCTCAGCCCTCTGCCCTGAACCCCCATGCCCCTAGCCCTCTGCCCTGACCCTTGAACCCCCCCCACACAGCCTTCTGCCCTGAACCCCCAACACACACCCAGCCCTCTGCCCTGAACCCCCCACACCCCAACACACACCAGCCTTCTACCCTGCAGTCCCCACACTCCCCCAGCCCTCTGACCTGACCCTTGAACCCTCCACACCCCCAGCCCTCTACCCTGATCCTTGAACCCCCCCACACACCCCAGCCTTCTGCCCTGAACCCCCTCCACCAGGCCTCTGCCCTGAAACACCCCCCCTCCCAGGTCTGGGGTGCCAGCCGCAGGCCCTGCTCAGCCCGCTGCCAGCCTAGGTGAACAGAATCCCAGGCTGGCAGCGAGCTGAGCGGGTTGGTGGCGTAAGATCAGCATTTTAATTTAATTTTAAATGATGCTTCTTAAACATTTTGAAAACCTTGTTTACTTTACATACAATAGTTTAGTTATATAATATAGAATTATAGAAAGAGACCTTCTAAAAATGTTAAAATGTATTACCGGCATACGAAACCTTAAATCAGAGTGAATAAATGAAGACTCGGCACACCACTTCTGAAAGGTTGCCGACCCCTGGTGTAGACCCAGCTGAACGCATCACTTATTGGGGAGAATATTGTTCAGATTTCATAACCATTCATACCTTGGTATCTCTGCTGAGACTTCCAAATGTGCTAGTTGTACTGGATATACATTTGGTGCATTTTGTTTTTTTTTTTTTCCTCTGTGGACTTAGTTTAAGACCACAAACTCAAGTAAAATGAGCACTGGAGAGACTTCAAATGGCTGTGATTTTTGCTAATCTGAATCCATCTTGGGTCACAATCTAGTGCTAAAAAGCACAAAAATCCACTTAGTAGTAGTTTTCTCATTCAGTCCTAATTTTTTTTTTCCAATTTTCTTAACATTCAGGTTAAGAGCCCTCTTCTGCTACATCTAGTACAACAAAAAATTGTAACAATCAGCTATTCTAAAGTATACTTTAATTTTATATTTCATGTTTTCTAGTCTCCACATTTATTTATTTTGGCAGTGCCTAAAGGCCAACCAAGAATGGGGCCCCATTGTGCTAAGCACTGTACAAACACAGAGTAGCAGATGGTCCCTGCACTGACGAGTTTACAATCTCAATAGGCAAGACAGATACCACGTGGGGAAGGGGAATAACACACAAGCAGAATGAATAATGCAATGGCAGTAAATGGCATGTTAGCTTCATAATTCTTTTTGGGGAGTGCGGGAGAGTGGGTTTAGTTAAGAGGGATATCAGCTAAATTGAAAGAGGGGAGGAAAGGCGTGAAATGGACAGGGGAGAAGAGAGTAAGAGGGGCAAGTGTGGAGCAAAGCTGAGGTGAAGAGTGTTGGGGAGAAGGGAGAGGGTAGGAGCAAACAGCTGATCAGCACAGGCCCCAAAGTCCTGTCAAAACTGTATAATGTTTCCTGAGTGTCTAGAAGTCCCTGCTGTGGGTGCTTCTGTTACTACTGGCTGGAGTCTGAGGCTGGCTCCTCTCTGCCATTTTTCCCAAAGGCCATATGCGGGGAGGAGGGGAAGGGAGGAACCACTTGGGCCCTTGTAGTACTATGAATATCCTTCCACTGAATATATCTTTGATACTGTGAGGGGCCTGGCACCTTACCGCCCCTTTGGGGCAGGGGTGGGGTGGGGTTCAGAACCTCGCCACTCCCAAGTTCGCGTGCTCGCCTCTCTGTGGGCGGCCTGATGCAGCCTAATAGCCTCTCTCAACGCAATCACCCCTTAGTAAGTTAGTCTCAACGCAATCACCCCTAAAAGATGGAGTCCATATAAATCGCTCCTAGTGTCAGAAGGTGTGGCCCAGTGGCCAGAGTCCATATAACCCCTCACCCTGCAGGTGGGGTAGTGTGGCCTAGCGGCCGGAGTCCATGTTGCTCGCATCAGGCCAGTGTGGCCCAATGGCCTGAGTCCATGAAAGTTGCCCCAGCGTTGGAGCAGTGCAGCCCAATGGCCAGAATCCATACAATCCCCCTCGCAAGCAGGGTAGTGTGGCCTACCGGCTGGAGTCCATGTGCCTCAAGTGTCATGGCAGTGTGGCCCAATGGCCAGAGTCCAAGGAAGTCACCCCAGTGCCTGGGCAGTGTGGCCCAACATCCATATTGTAACATTGTAACAATCAGCTATTCTAAAGTATACTTTAGAATATAGGCAGGGTAGCTCAGCCTAGCAGCTGGAGTCCATATGATTCCCGTGCTAGGCCACCTCCCTCAACCCGGAAGGGGAAGGCGGGGGCACAGGTGGCTGGGAGGGGAATAGGGGGACCTGGGCCCGCCCTCTCCACCGGGAACCGACCCAGGGCCCTGGTAGTGGCAAGTTCCCCTTGCTACCGGCTCAGTGGGGATCTGCCCAAAACATACCGAGCCTCTGCGGCTCTAACACCATTTTCCTCTAAAGTTCCCCTGGGTCACTTCCTACCATAACCTCTGAGTCCTCCATGTCAAGGGGTCCTTGGGTCTGTTCCTCTGCTGTGATGTGCTCTGTCTGGGCATGTCTTGGCTTGGCTGGCTTCCAGATCCTGGAGCACAGGCTGTCACTCCCCAGTGGTCAATCCAGATGGAGCAATTCTGCAGGCTTTTATACCTGTTCTCCAGTTGGAGTAGGCCCAGCAGAGCCTCCGGAGCATGGCTTCCTCTGCTAGGAAGGAAGGGTTAACCCCTGCGGTACCAGTGCGGGGTCGTTCTGCCCTGTCACTGATACTCTTTACAAAGTCGCTTTAAAAATATTTCTAGAAGCATAAGACGTTCATGCTATCATTGCAGAATAGTTTCAGTTTATGAAGCTTCAAAAGAATTCAGCTTCCCAGAAGGGTTGTTTATCCTTTAGGGGT